GACTTGGTGGTATATAGTATACCGAATACTTTTTTCTAGTCAATTAATTATTGGATCTTGTCTTATATGAATAATAGCTAACACAAATAACAAATCTATTAATTGTTCCAATATTACTAATTGAAGGGTAAATTTCATTCCAATAATTACACTTTCACTCTAATTATACTTCAATTTTATTTCATCAAGTTATCGCACTTTAGTTTGATTCGGTCTAATATCTTCGTCCAATTCCATTACCTGGCCTGACCTGATGTGAATTGATGATGTGACAATCAATTAATAATGATAATCTATTTATTTCACTAAAGTTGCACTTATTTCGCTTCAACTAAGAGTCACATGTAGTGATTGTCATTTGTTGAATATCACGTCATTGATTTTCTTAAGTGGAATTCGATGTTAAATTAAAGTATAATTATTTGAATGAAATCAAATTTGTTGTTGTCCGATCTTAAACGTAACCACATAACCACTTCAAAAAATGATTAAAAATACTAAAATATGAGATCTCCAAAGTCACAATGGTTGGCCCATGGGGCTCATTAGTGAGTCGGTTATTCACTCGTCGTAATTAGAAAATGTTATTATGATCAAACTGTAAAGGTATTTCTCGGAACATCAACACATCCATGACAACCAATTAAAGGAAAACAAATGTGTTATTTGACGTCGCACCACACCTTTCATCAATCTGAAAAGAGTCATGACTGCCTAGACAACAAGTAATCATAACTTAATACACAAGCTACGTTTGCTTGGTTGAACTTAATATCCAAACAAAAGGTTGATGACACACATCGAGATTACACTATGGCCTCATAAGATAGGGGGCGGCAAGCTCCTATTGAAAGGCTTATATACAGAGGTGATGGTCCCTACAAAAGGCCGAGCTAAGCAATTTTTAAAAATAGTTTGCAAAAACATTTGTAAATAAAAATTTCATCTCTTTCAATATATCATTCCGGCAAATTAAATGCAATTGTTTTGTTAAAATTCTCTTGAAGATATAATCAACAAAATTCAAAAGCATAACTATTGTACAGAATGTATGTATATATAGTAACTCGTGAATCTATGAAATGTGTGAATCAAAAATACGTTGGATCAACTTAAATATAAATTTATTCTTCGCCAAACATGCCCACAATATGTAATTTTTTTTTTTTGTAATGGAATGGAAGATTCATTCATTGTAACGAAATTACAAATGTGACTTATCAATACAGGAAAATCTGACTATAAGTCAACCTATGCAAACAACTCTGGAGCACCCCTGCACACAAAGTGGTGGATATTGTCTTAACTTCTAAATCTCTCTGAAGAGAGAGAGAGAGAGAGAGAGAGAGAGAGAGCACTCTAAACAAATAGAGTCACGCGATTGCTATGGACTTTAAGTCCAAAAGCCAATTACAACACAAATACAAACAAAATAACAAAAGCTACAACACAAAACAACAACAAAACAAAAGGACCATAAGCACGGGCAAAAGCCCCGACGGAACACCCACTGCAAGCATCTGCAACGCGAACCCAGACGACACGAGTACCCGGCTCGCGTAATTGGAAGTATAAATTCACATTATGAAAAAATATGTCAAAATGATGAGAATCATTAGCAAACCTGCAAATCCAATGAATTTTACTTTGCCCCTAGTGGAAATAAGAATTTCCCCTCGTACTGTACTTAAAGAATTTTTATTTATGAACGCAACTGGCCTGACTTGATTTCAAAGAATTTGCAGGCACAGTCAGATCCCAACATATATTTTATTACTCTTTAGCTTGGAACAGGCAACTTCTGAAATTTGCTACTTAAAAGTAACTTATAATTTAGTTAAACTAAACCTTTTGCTCAGTAATAATATTAGTTTCAAGGCAATTAATTTGCTGTCTTTCTTAATGATTCCATAAAGAATTAATTTGAGAGGAATCTGCAGATTTTGCTATGATATTCTGCTTAATTATCCAGTTGGTAAACTTTTTTAAAGGCTTAATTATGTAACTGACAAATTAGAACTTAAAGATGAAGGATTGTGGACAAAATCTAGTGGAGATCCAACCTGTTTTTAACTTTGGGATTTATTCACCCTCTTGCACTTGATTGATGGAGGTACCTACAATTTCAATAATTAATTTTATTTTCGTTAAACGGCGCGACGCGCAACAAAATTATTGTTAAGTAATTATAAATTGTGAATCTTATGAAATGTGTAATAATAAATGAATAGTAATTGTGAGTCCTTTAAAATTTATAAATAAAAATAATATTTAACTAGAATGTATTAAATTATAATTACTGAATGACTTGTTAATTTCCTTTTTTAATTCATTAGTTTAAATTAATATAGTTTGCATTTATAACTCTAGGGTGGTTACAACTTGACATAATTAGACTATGAAGTATGATGGTGTTTAGGTGTTTGTCTCCCTTTAAAACAACACTCTTTAATTCTCATACTTATTTTCAATCGCACATTCACATAATAAAATATTTTGTACGTAAATTCAAAAAAATTTCATTCTTTTTAACTGCACATTCTCCAAAAATTTATTATTTAAAATATCAGTCCACCCCACCCCACCCCACCCCATAATGACCATCAAACGAGGACTTGAGTGATTACAAATTGTAAGTCGTAGAAAATGAATAATAAGTTATTGATTCTAAAAGTACGTTGATAATAAATATATTCAGCAAATTTAAATTATAATTTATATGTTACCAAACATGTTTTTGATAAGTACAGCTAGAATTAATTTTCGGACTTTGCTATAGATACAAGAATTCAAATTCATGTACCTGTACCTATAGACCACAGGCAACATTTGGGGGGATTTTTTTTTTCAATATTTTATACATGGGGTCCACTACATGTGAATTGGAATTCAAAAATCTGGTCCAATTCTAGTAAAAATTCCCTTTACTTGAATCGTTTTCCTTATTTTACAAATATAGTCCTGGCCTGATTAAAAAATAAAAGAAAAAGAAAATGTACTATGCACCACAATACATACTTCGCTTCAAAGAAACTAAATCTTGTTCTGAATCCGAACCCTAAAAAATTCTCAACAATATAAAAAATTTGTGTGATGCAACAAATAAAAAATATTTAATTTACAATATGTCATTTTGCTTATGACCATATTAGGAGCCGTATGAGATGAAAATCTCACGTACGATTCTGAAACGGAGATTCTTTTACTGGAATTACGACCTTAATGGATGTCAGCTCAACACGAAAAATACTTAGAAGAAGCGTGATAGACTATTAAGAATTGAGGTTCCATCTTAAAAGGTCAACCTTATTAAGAGGAGTAGCCCAAAATCTTTATTAATTGGTCTGTATCAACATCATTTATCGATATGGGATATATATCCCTTAACACGCCCCT